CTGTTCTATATATCTCAACAGGAGGCTCAGTTGAAAAAAGAGCTTTTCAAAACAAAGTTACATATGTACATTTGACTACTTACTAAATGGCACCCATTCTCTTCAGCAACCTATGGTTGTCATAAGTGGCTGGGATATTGCTAAGTGCGACGTTAAACACACATATAAACAAAATTTTCGAAATGGTTTTGAATATTTTCAATCAGATATCATAGTCCAGGTTGTCTGTCTATAGAAAAATGCTTCATTATTTAAGTTGAAGAATTATTGAAGAGGTAGTTTTTAATTTAAGTTGATTTGAATAGATGTAAGAACGCGAAGTAATCAAACATTATGGACTGGTAGTCCTCATCGTTTACATATAGAGCAGCTGATATTAAATGATGAAGGGATAAGACAATCGCCCTGACTGATTGCAATGTTTAGTGACAACAACTTCAATGACATGATTCCGCTACTCACATTGTTTCCTCAATGACAGGTTTCTCCTGGAAGTCACATGCAGACCAAGATCCAAGAGAGGGGCACCGACCAACAATTTCCAGCAAGAGTCACGTTATTCAGTATATAAACCTGTAACCGGGAAATAAAAAGTAAAATATATCTAAGTGCTTTCGCATTGTTTGTGATATCATGTTATTGCCAATGAGATGTTTTTGTTGATAAAGGGCGGTGGGATAGCATAGTGGTTAAAACATTCGCTCGTCAACATTTTTGTTGGTAAAATGCTGCAATATTGCAACCTATTTTATGTAGACTACAGGGCAAAAGAAAGTATACAACTATGCTGGTTGGTTAATTATATAACAAGCAAGACATGGTTATTTGATGGTAATGTATTTTTATACGGGTACCATAGTTTTATTTTGGAGCTTTGTTTTAGAGACAAGTTTCAGCCAAGTAGTGTTGTGATCAATTCCAATTTTCAAGGGAATACTTTCTCATACCCAGCAGTTTCAGTACGGTAGAAATTGTTTTAATTAACCCGAATGGTTTGTTTCTACGTGTTACTGTCCTCTGGTCGAAGTGTCTCAATAGTTCAGCAATAACCTAGGTTACACACCAGACAACAACCGAGTCGGTTGCAATGGAGCTCTATGATCTATTTCCACATGGACAAATCGAATAGTACGACTAAAGCGAACACTACTTCTAATACGTACAGACTAAGTTATAGAAGTCTATGTTTCTCAAGACCGCCTCCGTGGTGTAGTGGTTAGAGCGTCCGCCCGGAGAGCGGAAGGTCGCGGGTTCGATCCCCGACCGCGTCATACCAAAAGACGTTAAAATATGGTACTTGTTGGTCCCTGCCTGGCACAACAAGGACTGGTCGGCTCGGAGTCAGTATAATGTGTCTGAGTGGGGTATTCATGCTTCACTGCGGCATGGTATCTCAGTGGGCTTGCACTATAAAACCAGCTTCAGTCTGGGCTAGTACAAGCAGCCGCACATACACATACACATGCATGCACGTCGTCATATGAGCGAAATATTCTCAAGAACGACGTTAAACCCAATTTCACCTCACCTCTGTTTCTCGGGGCTGTGGGGTAGCCTAGTGGTTAAAGCGTTCGCTCGTCACGCCGAAGACCAGGTTCGATTACCCATGTGGGTACAATGTGTGAAACCCATTGTGGTGTCCCCCGCCGTGATATTGCTGGGATATTGCTAAAAGCGGCGTAAAACCCAACTCACCCTCACTCTTACTCACTTCATTTATATGCAACGTGGACAAGTTCGAAACCTTTATAATGGTTCATATTCAACATTCGTGATTCTTATTTCTTACAAGTAAGAACGTATCAGACGGTCGCTGTAATAAACCTCGTTATCACATGCTTGTTTGGAACACTATTTTATATATAATACATTTAATATTATGCTAACGTGACAATGAGAGAAAAACTACAGGACACAAGAGGATAGATCCTGTCCAGATCATTGCACCAAATCAATAGCTTTACAACCATTCAAAGCACTAGAAACCTTTTTGTCATCACATACTAGAAGCCAGTGCGAGAGAATAGCCACTCCTGATTATCTACCTATACAAACTCCGATGACATTAAGAGCTAAACGTTCCAGATATCAAGATTAAACTTGTCGTCGCTGCTGTGCTTTAGGCAATGGCGTAGTTAAATCGGTATGAGGCCATTAACGCCTATCAATCATCATTGTTTTCAGCTGGTGCCTTTTTCTTCCACTCCATATATTAATACTGACGGTGTTCCCTGGATACATGAAGGCCTTGGGCCAAACCTCCGAACGAAACCCTAGTTTAGGATAATGGTAACACAGTCAACAAGCGCATGTTGCACACATACGCGAAGTTTAAAGACTGAAAATATAAAACAAAGAATTTTTTTTAACCCTTTGCAGTATATGTTATGGTTTTCTTTAGGATAGTATCGTTGTCTCGAAGTTTGTTTCAGGAAGTCGCCATATAGCTGTAAAACTTACCTCTCTCACTCACTCACTAACTTTGAGCTAACTAGTTTTTTATACACGCACATCATGACACCATAGTTCTTCACTGACTGACTGACTCCCTGTGTGAATGAGTGCATGTGTATTTTAGCAATATTCCATCAATATCACACTGGAAATGAACAACAGACATGACCTTCACACATTGAACCGAATCGAATCCAGGTTTTCTGCTCGACGAGGGACCGCTTTAACCACTAGGCTACCCCACCGCCCCCATACGTTTTCAAGTGAGTATGAACAGCATTCCAGTTATATCAGTGCGTGGCAGTTTGATGTTTATGTAAAGTCCAAACTGATGCAGGTCTAGATCTTTGACATTTACCACCTTGATGGTATACAGGAGCACAGGTATGGCTTTGACAAACCTAGAATTATAATCGGGGAGAACCAGATCATAGCGCGCATGATCATAGGTTATGTCGTTTCCAGGCGGCACAGCTCTGTACTTCGCAGTCTTGCGCCATGGACGACTTGAAAACACGTGGCCTATTATAGGAGTGAGTGAGTTTAGTTATACGCCGCTTTTAGCAATTTTGCAGCAATATCACGGTGGAGGACACCAGTAATGGGTTTCACACATTGTACCCATGTGGGGAATCGAACAGGGTTCTCGGTGTGACGAGCAAACGCTTACCCACTAGGCTACCAAACCGTCCCGTCTCTTATAGGACATCTCAGCTTAATTGTCCATTGTACACTTCAGACAATATTTGTCAGGCAATACGTTTGTGTATATGAGTTTTGTGTTCAAACTGCTTTCACAAAACTTGGAAACAGGACTGTTATAAAGTTGAAATCTTCTTTTGTTATTATTAGAGTTTTTGTATAGGTTTTTGTCCTTGAATCTTTTGTACCACACATCGTTTTACTGTCTTTAAAGTCCAGACATCTTGGTCTTCAACTGCAGCAAATCGGCACTTTAAGAACTGTTAATGATGTACTGTTGAACAGACAAACTCTGGCCTATATCGCTGAAGAAGAAGACATTCATATGTAATTTAAAAATGTAAATTCCAAATACGTCATAAGTGTCACGTGTTTCGTGAATTCATGCATGACAATGATGCGTATTAATATTGCTGAACTAAACACAAACGTTAATAGTCTGTCATATTTGTGCAAGGCACGGCTGCTAATCAACTCTAACACTGCTAGGAGACTTCTCAACGTTTCAGAATCATGCAAGGTAAATGCAACTACAGCCTAACATAGTTCTGTCGAACTTTGCTGTGTACTATGTCGAACTTAGGTTTGTCTCGAAGTAAACGCTTTGCCCTTACGTATTTTTATTTAGTCGTCATTTGCTGTTGTGTCGAACTTCTGATAACTCGAAGTATATGCGCAGGTGCCTCCAACTTCGACACATCAGTGTTTGACTGTAACTAAAAAAATCTTCATATCTGTTTGTCTCTGTGAAGTTTTACGCCAGTGAGTGAAATTGAATTTGTATCACGTCAGCTTGTCAGTGACCGAATCTCGCCAGGTAAACCAAGGTATGAACAGCATCCCGCTCATTCAGGGCATGAAACGTCGAACAACCGACCTTACGGCAAACATAGGATACATGGAACCTTTTTGTCCGAAATTCAGACAGGGCACTCTATGCTTTAGATGCATGGAACATTTAATTGTATCATAGATAACGTAATTTAAATCACTTAAATACCTAAATAATGCAGATGAGATGACTAGTTTTAGTTTTGAGTGATATCTATTGCATCTGTTCACATATTACTTTACTGTGTGGTTTCTGTAAACAGTCCGTGTATTTGTGACCCCTGGTGACCTTTGGTTTGAATCACACGTTTTAGCTATTTGCTTTGTGAGCATATACCATACATACAAAGCGATAAACGTCTCAGACCAACATCATTTTGAACTTTCCTTATTTAGCTGACGTGCCGTGATACACCTGAAATAATGTTTACAACTCAGAATATTAGTATAGCCGATTTGTTTTGTTTGATATTTAACGCCACATGCAGCAATATTCAAGCCATGTGACAGCAATCTTTAAATATTCGAGTTTGGGCTAGATAACCGAGTGATTGACACCATGAACATCGATTTATGCAGTTTGGAAACGATACCATGTCAGTAGGATGTGTACCTGGTTCTGTATCAGTGCGTGAAATAGCCACTGACCTGATAGCCCGTGGCTTGTAACAATCCAGTCGGGCCAGTAAATATCCACAGTCGCAGGCCCGACTGGCTAGTGAATTTCCATGGGGTCATTTTTTAAATATATCACTCTCCGACTTGTTAAGTCATAATACACTTTTATATCATGCAAGATTATGGCCTGATAAATAATGGTTTTTTTACCTTTTTGTAATCTTTTGCTTAGTGTCTATATTCAAATTGCGGGCTAGGGAATTATTTTCTGGGCTAATAACTTTCTGGCATAGCTAGCCCGACTGGCTAGCAAAACCTGGAAACTTTTTCGCACACTGCCCTGTATGTTTGACCATTGACCATGATATTAAATCTCTCTTCTCGAACAGCTTCCAGTATTCTTCATATCCTTCTTTTGGTCATCCTCGTCATTGGGGCTGCCATGGGAGTCCCAGGTAAACAAAGCCAACTCAAGAAGCCCTTCTACCAAAGAAGACGTATTAACCTGCGACTCTACAATATGAGAAGGTTTCTGATGGCTCAGAGGTACCGCTATTTTGATGATGACAACTCAGACTTCGACAGATACGACTTCTCCGAGAGTTGAGGCAAAAGACACGGATAAAAAACACTGGATGTGAGTAAACATTATATTGAAATACCACCAAAACGTCTGCTCGTGTTGAAACAAAATTCGGGGCGGTGGGGTAGCCTAGTGGTTAAAGCGTTGGCTCGTCACGCCGAAGACCCGGGTTCGAATCCCCACATGGGCACAATGTGTGAAGCCCATTTCTGGTGTCCCCCGCCGTGATGTTGCTGGAATATTGCTAAAAGCGGCGTAAAACTAAACTCAGTCAGTCAGTCAAACAAAATTAATTACCCTAGTCACTGGAACCAATTTACGACAAATGGATAAAATCCTGACCATTAAACCAAAAACCTTTTTTCACACGGCCGATATCACGGCATTCTTCACATGGGGGCAAGTGGTTCTGTGCCTCACTCTGTGAGTGTTTGTTCGAATTCCGGATGGACTCAAATCCCTAAACGTACTAGAATGTGTATATTACTGAGAAAGTGTAATATGCTACATACATTTGACTACTTTTTAAAAGGCATTGTGTATTTAAAACCCTTTACTGTACGGTATTAGTCAGTTGTAGGTTTATATAATGCATTGCAACAAACGATTTGATTTAATTTAGTGAGTGCGTGAATTTAGTTTTACGCCGCTTTTAGCAATATTTTAGCAATATCACGGCGGTTGACACCAGAAATCAGCTTCACACATTGAACCTGTCTGGGTAATCGAACCCGGGTCGTCGGCGTGACGAGCGAACCACTGGGCTACCGTTAACTGAGGCCACAACGGATAGCCTTAAAACTCATCATATCTCGACAATGTAAATTTCACTCTTTCTCTATCATAGTGAACACACCAATGATAAGAGTCAACGTCAGAGGATAAATCAATCTCGTTTTACAGTAAAACGGTGATGCAAACTACATAATATAAGTGTTTCCTGAATGTGAGTGAGTGAGTGAGTGTGGTTTTACGCCGCTTTTAGCAATATTCCAGCAATATCACGGCGGAGTACACCAGAAATGGGCTTCACACATTGTGCCCATGTGGGGAATCGAACCCGGGTCAACGCTTTAACCACTAGGCTACCCCACCGCCCCTCCTGAATGTGAAGAACACGCTAGTGTTTGTGTTGAATTTCGTGTCGGATCATACAATGGATCGTCTTATGATTATTGAAATTCACATTTTTACGAGCTATTTACATACATGGTCACGTGTTCCGTGACGATGAGCTAGTGGCCTAGAAACATGAGCTTATCTTTCAATGCAGTGTGCGTTTTTTAGGAAAGAGTAAACTCACAAAGAAAAGACATATATATATCTGTCATCTAAAAATATTAACATTCTAACTTCAGTCTTCTGTCGTACATTGAACGATACCAGTGTTTGAAATATTTAAATCGAAGACCATCGAAGTTTTGAATTGATATCATTTTTTTATGTATCTTGATGATGTTTGTCTAATATACGAACTATATATTTCAGACTTCAGCTGCTAGGCAAGGAACACGTCACATCAGATGAGACATTTCCACCACAAATTGCATATCATCATGTACTGCAGCAGTCTGGGTAACTTAGGTCGCTATAGCGGCGATAACATAACTGTAAGTGTGATGTTGAACTAAAACACTTTCGTTTTCGTTGGAGTTTGTTTTTTACTGATACGCATGCGAATTTCCGTACTTCTACACAGCAGTAGTAATTCCAAAATATCCGGTTTATCGATCACTTGATTGTCTGGTTGATTTACCGGCCGGGTAATCATTTGCACCGACGTTCTATATCATATAACTACATGTTAATGCAATTCATACTTCATTTGACTTTTGTCACCCTTGGATGTTTATACTTTTAATACTTATGTCAATGTCACACAGAGAGAGTAGTATAGAATAACGGTTTTATATATTTTACTTGTTATTAAATATATATTCAAATTGTAGCAGATTGTGGAAATTGGGTGCAGGTCGAGAAAACCTACAAAAAGAGCTTGCCACTTGTTGAGAATGTATCTTGTGTTATCTCGCCATGGTAACACGTAACCATGGTAACCATGGTAACCATGGCGACTTTTACCAAGAACAATTTCACATCAGTTGTTTACATTATACCTAGGTGCGTGGGTAACAGGTGTACATTGAAGTATAAGTCATGTTTGGGTAGGTGTCCACCTTCAGGTATCATTGAATATGATCGCTCCTCGGCTAAGTAGGTGGGGTGTAGTAGCTTAATGGTCAAAGTATTTGCTCGTCTGGATTTGATTCCCTACATAAGAATAATAGGGATGTCCATTTCTGGTGTCTTCCGTGGTGATATTGCTGGAATATTGCTAAAAGCGGTGTAAAACCATACTCACCCATCGGGCGATCTTTCTTTTAATTCATAAGTATGTCATGCATTATTGAAACGAATTACATCTCCATATTCCGTTTAATGCGATGTAACCTCTGTGCCTTTATAGACCCAGAATCGGTGAATGGCTTTGTCTCAAATTTACCACACAATTCTACATACATAATTCCTTAGTCAGTAGGCCTTTAGGAAGACCAGGCATAAACGTGGCATTAGGAAATAAATCCTATGAACATAGTCACAGCAATAACCGTTTATCTACAGCTATATCTTTATTATAGATACATAATTATGTATATGAAGTATACGCATTTATCCCTGGATGACTGGGGTTGTGAAACCCGTGAAGATCTCGCGGTTAGAATTGGTCTTCAGTAACTCATGCTTGTCGTAAGAGGCGACTAACGGGATCGGGTGGTCATGCTCGCTGGCTTGGTTGACACATGTCATCGGTTTCCAATTGCGTAGACTGATACTCATGCTGTTGATCACTGGATTGTCTGGTCGGGACTCGATTATTTACAGACCGCCGCCATATTGCTGGAATATTGCTGAGTGCGGCAACAAACACACATACCTTACCATCCTTATATTCTAAACTAAACTGATTTTGAGTCAGGTTCTTCAGCTGTTGTATAGAGGTGCAGTGGTGTGTTATTGCGCTTTTACGAGTGTTTCATTAGAAACATCTTCGTGTGAAAGTACCTTGCCCCAGTGTTCTCTCCAGTGACATATACTTTAGCATCTGTGGTAACTAAATGTGTCAAGCAAAGTTGACTGCATTTTCCCCAATTAATGCTCTTATTAGCATACGCTGTTCATCACGGAACACCAGGATTTGTTGGCTTCCCTGTACGCCTGGCTTCATCGTATATCATGAAACACCGCGCTACATTGTATATCATGGAACACCGTGATACATTGTATATCATAGAACACCAGGATATATTGGCTTTCTTGTACGCCTGGCTTCATTGTATATCATGGAAACACTGTGCTACATTGTAAATCATGGAACACCGTGCTACATTGTATATGCTGGAACACCAGGATATGTTGTATAGCATGGAACACCAGGCTACAGTGTAGATCATGGAACATCGTGCTTCATCGTATATTATGGAACGACAGGCTACATTGTAGATCATGGAACGCCAGGATATATTGTATATCATGGAACACCAGGATATATTGTATGTCATGGAACACCAGGATATATTGTATGTCATGGAACACCAGGATATATTGGCTTTCATGTACACCTGGCTTCATTGTATATCACGGAACACCGTGCTACATTGTATATCATGGAACAGCCTGATATATTGTAGATCATGGAACACCAGGATATGTTGTATACCATGGGACACCTGTCAACATTGTATCTGAAAACGGGCTATCTCCGAACATCGGGCTGCATTGCATATCAGAGAACACCCGTCTACATTATCACGGAACAGCAGAATTGATTGGATTTCAGGTAGATAAAGGTCACCGCTTCCAAATTCGGACTAAAGTGAGTGAAAATATGAGCCATGATGAGAACACATAGGCAGTGGACTAAACGAGACAATAATTCTTTAATGAAGCTAATGTACATAATCAATGACACAGTGTAAGGCTCTGGGTTTCATATATTAATATCCTGACAATACAAAGCATGGTTTACATTAACACAGTTATATCATTGAGTCTCGGACGCCTGGCGTACCTCAGGCGTTGTCTGTAACGACGATCACGTGCTCTGTAACTGATGTCACTGTTGGCGCGGTTGAAACTGCTGCCGAAGGGAATGTCATAGTCACTGCCGTAACCGTTGTCGTATCTATTTCCATTGCCGTGTCTGTACACGTACAGGGGTATATCACCGTACGCGTTGTCGTAGGGATTGTCGAAGCTGTTGTCATAACTGTTGTCATGGCTGTTGTCATAACTGATGTGGTTACGGGTGTTGTATGCTGTCGTACATAATTTGACTGGTATAATCGTTGCCGTAGTCGTAACGTCCAAGGCGTCGCCTTCGCCTTAAACTTGACTTGATGTGCGCACTTGCTGCAGCGACAGTTACGACGAGCAGGAGGATATGTGTTAGATGCATCTTTGTTGAGACTGAAACACAAGGGAGTCTTATTAAAGTGAGCACAAGTGTTGCATAGTTACATAGTGAGTGAGTGAGTGGTTGTGTGAGACCTCACACATTGTACCCATGTGGAGAATCGAACCCTGGTCATCTGCGTGACGAAGCTACCCAACCGCCCCATTTATATAGTGATGTCATGTTAAAACAAACTTTGTTCATCAACAAAATGTTTGACTGTGATACCAATGATCTAAGGTACAATGCAGAGTTTGTCCCTCAGCCGTACCAACGATCTGAAAACAAGCTTTGATTTGTGTTTGATACTTGGTCGGTAAGCACGATACAGAACGGATAAGACTTACCATGAAAATCCTGAAGCTGCAAATACGACCTGAGTTGCTCAGGGCAATTTTCAACAATAAAGTAGATAACAATAGGATACTTTTTAAAGTATAGATAAACCAAACTCACTAACGCAAGAGCTAGAGTCATCAATATCATCTTCAAACCGTTTTACCATCTGAACGACTTCATTTCGACGTTTCACACCTAATTATATTGCAGATATGCCTTGGTCGGAATCGCTAAGAAAACACAACTGTAAAAGGCAACATATAACAGAAGAAAACGTTAGTTATTCTCCCGGTATCAATTTCATTCGAAAAATATCGTAGATATTCGGAAAATGGCGTCTCAGATCAATATTCGGGACATACAACTGAGATTGGTATTTTACTTATGTAACGCTTTGGCAATTCCAATTGGGAACATAAAGAAACTTTACCTTACACGGTGCACTTTAGCCGAGGACATTGATAATAGCAGAAGAGGCCAAAATTAATGCAGAATCACCTATCGCTTTCTCGATAAAAGTATATGGGCCTGAGGCCGCGAATACAATAAGCTGAATTGAATTGAATCGATAAAAGCTAAGGTCAGTGGGAAGGCCTTGCCATCACGCCGAATACTCAACGTATGAAACGTATTTTGCTGCAGTATTTCAAAAGGCATAAAATCAAGTCCTAGGGCATTTCATTTCGATTCACAGATGCACATATGTTCCCACATCAGATCGGCGGTATTCCGGGACAGAATAGGTACTAATTAAACAACCTACATGTATGATGTTCGTAAGAGGGGATTCCATTATTTCCATGTAGTCGTCATCTATGTAACCGCTATATGTACAGGAAGACGTACAAGTTCTGAAAACGGCGTTAACAAAAAACACACATGCATAATATGCATCGGATGGTGCTTAGAATCCGGGTTAAAATTGGTCTTCAGCAACCCATGCTTGTCGTAAGAGGCCACTAACGAGATCGGGTGGTCAGGCTCGCTAAATCGGTTCACACATGTCATCGTATTCCAATTGCATAGATCGATGCTCATGCTGGATTGTCTGATCCAGACTCGATTATTTACAGACCGCGGCCATATAGCTGGAATATTGCTGAGTGCTGCGTTAAATAACAAACCATCAAACCAACCAACCCTAAGCAACTGCCCTCAATCATATAGTCTATAATGCACTGGCCATTTGATTATCTATATGAGTACACCCCGGACAACCACATCACCAGGACACTTGTCATACAATGTCAATCTAACATGCAACTGAATATATCTGACACTCTAAACTTGCACGCGTGAGCTGGTTACTGAGTAAGACCCAAGTCTGTTGTGAAATGTTACATCAGCGTTATGGAGCCATGTCAAGCATACCTGTCATACGAGCCACATACTTGTAGTTGATTGTGCTAACTTAGATCCCTTTATCTCTTTATCCTTTTATCTCTTTATCCCTTTATCCATTGATACGCAAGAAATCATTACACGCTATAGTTTGACATGAAATGCATGTGGACCCGGTTTTTTGTAAATATCTCTTCATCCAATGACCCAATCGATCTCAAACTGTGCAAGTGGATGTTTTGTCAGACAACCTAATCACATTGTAAATCACCGATTTTGTGCATTTGTATTAAAGAATCTGTCTATGTAACTGTCAACAAAATAAACAGCAGAACGCAGACTGCTTGCAGAGGGAGGGAGCCAATGACCTGTAACAGCGGCAGTGTTGGGTCATAATGGTAAATGCACGTGCAGTTCATGATAGTTACCTGTGCACTGCACAGTGATAGACCGTTTGGATCATTCACATTCACTACTTCTAGCTGTCATCATGGAAGCTTATTCAGATGATG